GGGGGGGGGGGGTTGTTTGTTTTTTTGGTTGTTGTTCTTTTTAATAAATGTGGGTTGTGTATTTTTAGAACTAGTTTGCAAATGTGATCTAACATTTTAAAGGCATGTGTCTTTTCTGCATTTTGATTATTTAACTTGTCTCCGGGCCTTTCTGAGATCTAGATCCTGGTGACTGGGAAGGTCTCGGCAGCCTTCAAACACATCTGCCATCTGGTCTGTGCAGCCACTGGGCGCTGAGTGTTTCCTTTCTTCTGTTTTTACAGAGAGGCAGCCAGAGGCAGCAGGCAGCCTTCCTAAAACATGCTGGTGTGAACGGGTGTGTATGTGGGCAGGTGTGCTCTACAGGTCACTGTGAGTGCACTTTGGGACTGTCACGTGCTGTGGCGGCCCAGCTCAGAGGAACGGAAAGAAAGGGTCTATACAGGTGCCAGCCAGCCTTTCCTGTTGCCAACAGACAACAAACAGTTCTGCTGGGCCCCTGGGCCCAAGAGCAGAGACTAGGAAGTAAAAGCACAGGCTCTGGAAGAAGGCTGCCTTCTCTGTCCACTGCTTGCTGGGTGGCCTTGGGCAAGTTTGCGCCTCCTTGCGGCTGTGCTCACCCAGAACACGGAGATCAACCTCGGAGCCTGTTGTGAAGACATTTTACATAATCCCATTGGCACTGTGATTATGTAAGAAAAATAATGCCCATAACTTTTAGAGATATAGTACTTACGAAGTACATAAAGATGTAATACCCTGTGATCTGGGGTTTGCTTTAAAATAATGAAGCAGAAATAAAGTGGAGATGATTTCATTTGCATCAGATTCGAGAACAGGTAAACTAATCTCTGGTGATAAAACTGAGAATGAAAATGAAATTAATGAAAAGAAATCAGAAATGAAAGGTGAGACAGAGCACCAGAGAATGTTCTGGGGTACTAAATGTTCTATAACTTGACTGGAGTGATGATTAGTTACACGGGTGTAAATATTTGGCAAAGCTCATTGGCCTAAGGATGGTTCAGAAAAATAATAATAATGTGTGTATACGTGTGGGATGCATGATAAAGCAAACGTGGTAATTTGTTAATATTTGGTGAATCTCACTGAAGCGTATATGGGAATTTTTTGTACTATTTTTGCAACATCTGTAAGTATGAAATTATTTCAAAATCACAAAGGTTTAAAAACTCATCAAACTTTACACTTAAGATCCGTGCACTGTACTGTATGTAAATTATATGCCAAAGTAAACATTAAAAGGGGCGGGGGTGAGGAAGCATACGTAGCAAAATCTTGATAAACACTGGCTCTGAGTGATAGGTGTATGGAGGTTCATATACTATTCTTTCTAGTTTTGTGTATGTTCAACTATTTTTATAACGCAAAAAAAATTTTTTAAAGTTAAGACTACAAAAATATCCATCAAGTTCCTGGTCGTGTGGCCACCACAGGGTGGCTTCCTGCTCTGAGAATGGTCTCATCTGGGGCGCCCTGCACCTTCTCTCTCGGGGGATCAGGGAATTACATACATGTGTCAGCCTGCTGATGCTGGCATTACCTGTGACCATGCTTGACCAGAAATGCACACCAAGCTGGTTTTCTCTGTCCTTCAACTACAGCAGGGTGAAACAAATAGCCAGACAACATTGGGGATAAGTGCCCTTTCCAAATGTTCATTCAGGTGAATCTCTGCCTGGATGTCTTCCACCGGCAGAAGCTACACTCAAAGCAGCTGTAGCCACAGAAGGCCACAAGGAAAAGTCATGGAGGGCAAAGACAGATATGTAAATGCTGTGTAGGACAAGCAGGAACCACTCGAGATCTAATTTCACTTTTGCAAAGTAAACATTTGCCTTGGCCTAGGCAAAGGGAAAAAGTGAGGGCTGATGATCTCTGAGGTGAAGCAAACACAGCTCTTAAGAAAGTCTCGGTTTTAATGGGGATGATGGCCTCTTGTTCTCAAGGGCTGAACAGGAGCACTGACCCAGGATGATGGAGACCTGGGTGCTTTTCCCATCTGCATCACTAAGGATCCTTGTGACCTTGATGAGTCACCTCCTCCCTGGGCCTCTATCCTCCACCCACGAGTGAAGGTTTGGACCAAAGGAACCCTCCAGCTTTCTGATTCTTTAAAACAAATATTGAGCCTTAGTTGGGAGGAACTCCAGGTCAAGGAGTAGCCTTAAGTGCTTTCTGAGCCCAAGCAGGAGACAGACAAGGACACAGGTGAGACAGTAACTGCAGGAAAGATGGCCAAATCTTTCAAATTGTCTAAAGTGGAAATCTAGATTCTTGTGGCCTATCTCCTGATTTCCAAGAGACAGTAATTCATTCAAAAATTTTTATAAATGCTATGGGAGCCTAACAAAAATATTTATGAACAGAATTAAGTCCCTGGGCTGCCAGAATGCACCTTTTGTGTGATGCCATAGCCTCCTGGCTGGGGGCTAGACTGGAGGTCTCTGATCTTTCAACATTTGGGTTTTGTGATGCCCTAAGTCCTAGAGAGCTCCAACTCAAGGCTGAGGGTGAATTTAATGACAACGACTTTAAACATTTTTTTTTACCATACCTGACAGTAAAATAGTCATTTTACAGTGGTACACATACATATATAAAACTGTAAGAAAAGATTCACAAAATAAAACTTACTCCTACCACAAGCAGTTGCCCTCTATTTTCTATTCTATTTTATTCTACTTCTTCTTTTTTTATTTAATGCTGATGGGAACCCATTAAACTGACTTTATAGGTCATGTTGGAGAAACATTGCTTTAAGTTCACATTTACTCAATTTTCCCTCTACCTTATGAGGTAGAAATCATTATCATTTCCATTTTACAGACTAGAAAATGAATCTCAAGCTTCGTACAAGAGATCCAATATTCTTTCTTTTATTCTTTTAATCAAGAAAGGCAAGATTGAGAGGAATTAGAAGACTCCAAAGGGCAAGGTCAGAGAGGAAAAGTTCCAGAGGCAAAGCAATCAAGGAGGACCTTGGGGAGAACAGACACATCAAGCAGGAGGATTAAGGCTACATGCTGTGGGGCATGCAAGTGGTCACCCCTTGCCTCTCCTGTGAAATCTGCAGTGAAATCTACATGGCAGTCCATGCCCTGGGTGTGTGGCTTCTTTAAGGAGAAGCCAGGTTTGTCACGCAGGTGACCCCACTACAGACTCAAAGGAAATGATATAGTTGCTAATGCCTAGGTCACATTCATGAACTTGAAATTCCAGCTCCAGACGGTAGAAGTGGGTGATTGGCAGTCATAGTGGGGGTGGGGGTGGGGGATGGATTGAATGAGTAGGACTCAAATCCCGATCCATTTCACCATCAAGGCTGGGCTGTGAAACCTCATCACTCAACTGTACTACCTTTTAGTTTATTATTAATGAACTGACAAAAATGCTATGTCTTCTCCATAGGCAGTGATCACAGCACACAAGAGACAGAAGCTCAGTCTAGGGATGTCAGTGGGGAAGATTTAGTTAGACCAATGAATTTTGCTCCTACTTGGCTAGTCAGCTAAGCCTAGTGGTACTGTTTCTAATCAAGCTTTGCAGCCATCTGGGCTGGGGTAGGGAGCCTGGCAACACCCTCTATAGCCCAGCACAATCCAGCATGGCCCAGCATAGCCTAGCCTTCACTTGTAGTACATTTGACTGTATTCTAAAATGGTTGAATTTATCTCTATCTTTGTCTCTTTTCCTTGTCTCCTCTACCTCCAGATTCCTGGAGAAAAGTCAGTGGAGGTGCATGTCTGTTTACAAAGCCCAGAGGCAACGATTTCAAGCATTTGCACTGGGTGGCTTTCTGCTTTCTCTAAAGTATGTGGTACCGCACAGTTGCTGGATAATGTTTAAAGCCAATGAGTCTTAGATTAGTATCGCAAAAGTCAATTAACAAGGCAATTTCTTCCCTTGGTTTGTATTTGTATATTATTAATGAATTACGAGGCCTCCTGGTGTGGTAAATTAGTCTAGGTAACTGGGGAGCAGAGTACAAATATTTTTTCCCTTAATGGCCCCAAATGTTTATCTCATACAGAGAAAGCTATATACAAGCCCAGGGAGGCCTCCCTGTTCCAGCAGCTGAGGAAGCACACGAGCAGCTCTGATAAATATTGATGTTTGTTTATCCAAAGGCCACAGACCATGCTGGCAAGCTGCCATCCCCTCCCACCCTCCTGTAGCCTTAACTGGCAGGACTCATTATGCAAGAAGGAGATACAGGAACCTCAACTGCCTTTGCTGAATGATGTTCAGCCTTTGTTTCCTGAACACACACACACACTAGGGGAACCAGATGTCCTGACCTACAAGGGTCAGGCACAGGACAAACAAACAAACAATAAAAACACCTACGTCCTATATAGAATCACATGGAAAGAGTACAAAGAGAATGGTGATGGGAAGATCTCTGCCGCATTGGAATGACTAGCTTAGGGATGTGTGAATGCTGCCCCAAAGTGCTGCATTGTCACAAGATCTATGCCTTAAGAAATAAATTGTGCTACATATAAATATCAGAGCATTAACATGGAGATATTTATAAGCATCCATTCGATAAGTCACAATTGAGCACCTACTAATGTACAAGGCAATGTGAACAATACCCTACACTTAATCTCATTCACCTACTTCTAAGCATGATTCAGCCTCAAAACATATTGGACTAAAGCAGAGTATAAATTAATAAGATCCATGTATTCATTCCTTTAATAAATCTGTATTGAATGCTTATCATGTAAATGCCAGGTGCTAGGCACACAACAAAAGCTGAAAAAGATACAGTCCCTTCAATAGCCCAGCAACCAGCTAGGGAGACAGACAGGTTGGCAAAGCATTATAAAGCAGGCCACAAGAAAGAGGGGCATCTGGCTCCAGGGACACACAGGAAGGAGAGGACCAGCAGGAATGGCCAAGAAAGTGTGCTGGGGAGAAGCTAAGTGCCCCCTACTCATGGCCTCTACTTTCCCCCACGTTGATTCCCACTCATGGAGTAAGAAACTTACGCTTCCAGGTGGCCTTCTCAGGAGGACTGGCAGACCTTAGGTGGGCACCTCTCAAGTTAGAAAATCTCAGAGGGACATCTCCCCATGCCCTAAGAATCCCATCTTCTCCCTTTAGAGACAAGAGAAAAGAAAACCAAATATCTACTCTTTTCATAATTAATTTTCTTTCTGACAAAATCTATCATTTTCTGTCTGCCCAGCCCCCATCCGACCGAGAGCTCCTTGAAACCCTCTAGAGGACACCAGAAGAGCCCGGGGAACACTCAACAAGGCCCCGGACTCCAGGAGCCCCTTCGAATGCTCTAGGGCAGTGGTTCCTAACCTTCCTGATGCCGCGACCCTTTCATACAGCTCCTCATGCTGTGGTGACCATAAAATTATTTTCATTGCTACTTCATAACTGTAATTTTGCTACTGTTATGAATCGCCATTGGAAATATGTGTTTTCCAATGGTCTTAGGCAACCCCTGTGAAAGGGTCGTTTGACCCCCAAAGGGGTCGCTATCCACAGGTTGAGAACTGCTGCTCTAGGGAGAGCAACGGCTCAGAGATCTGGTGGGAAACCGCACGCAGCTTCCTGTATCTACAGATAGCAAAAAAGCAGAGCATAACTGCCTGGCATCTCATCCTTCACCGAGTCTATGGGCCTGCATGTGTGTGTCTCTAATTTACATTTTATGGGTTTCTGCCCTGGCCAGTTTGGCTCAGCGGTTAGAGCGTCGGCCTGCGGTCCGGGGAGACCCGGGTTCGGTTCCCGCTAAGGGCATGTACTTCGGTTGCAGTTTGTCCCCGGCCCTGGTTGGTCATGCGGGTGGCAGCCACTCGATGTGTCCCTTCACGTCGATGTTTCTCTCTCTCTCTCCCTTCCCCTCTCTCCCTCCCACTCTATCTGTACAAAAAATGGAAAAATATCCTCGGGTGAGGATTAAAAACAAAACAAATAAACAAAAATACATTTTATGGGTTTCTACCTGGACGGCATAATGAATATCTAGATGTATGTATGCAATATTCCCTTTGCCTCCCACTGCTGCCGGCTTCATCTAATTAGACACCTCCTCACCCTTCAGATCTCCGGGAACTCTGCCTTTCCCAGGGAAGCCTTCCCTGACCCGTCGGGCTAATTGTTGACTTACTCACTCTTACTATGCCAGGCACCTTTCCTCCATGACCTTTGTTATAGCTTGCAATTATGCATCCATTTTGCATTATTTTATTTCTGCCTGCCTGTCCCACAGCCATACGCTCCCTGCAGGATCCACAGAGTCCAGCTTATTGCCCTCAGTAATCCTAGCTCTAGCCCAAGGCCCAGCGTTTAGTATGCACTCAACAAATTCTCCTAGATTATAGAATAAAGTTCAAGGAATGGAACTCCTCTCTTGTTTTACTACAGCCCTGCCTGGCTTGGATTTCTGTTTGGTTTGAGGCTTTGCTTTGTTCAAAGGCATCACAGCCAAAGGTCCTCCTTCAACCTCCAAACATTTCCTGTGCCACATGGCCTAAAGAAGCCCTTCAAAGGCAGCATGAAACTAAGTAAACAAACAAATAAATAAATAGCAGGTATTTTTACAAATTAAGATCTAAGTCCAAAAAAAAGAGCCAACTATTTTTTCCAAGAGTAGCACAAATTTGTTGTTCCAGAAGACTGTAATAGACAAAAATCAATAATGTTTTTGTTCCAGTGGATGAGCTTCATGTTTAGAACAGGAAGAGAATCTAATGGACGGCTTTTCACCTGCTTTTCGCCCTCAATAATATGATGCGGTTACGCCTGAGAGGAGTTTGACGAGACAGACGGGTAGAAGGCTAAGGACGTTGTCTAATGCTGGAAGGACGTTTGGAAAGGTCAGATTCTCCCCGACCTGTCAAATTGGTGAATAGATGGACGTTGTCTGAATTCAAACTATCTTTGGCATTCAAGTAGAAACCTTCAAGGATAACTGCCAGTAGCCTACTCACCCCCAAACTAAGCCTCCTCACCCCCACCTCCGGGCAAGAGTTGAGGGATTCTCTGTCCCTGGAATTTGCAATCAAGCCCCAGAGCCATTTGTTGGTCTCTTATGCACTCGAAATGCGATGTGAAGACAGGTCAGATTGGCCACATGCATGAAGACCATAGAGAGCCATGCTGCAGACAGAGACAGAAGATGACAAGAAGGGAAAGGTCAAGTGTCCACAAATGAGAGCACCACCATACTCCCAACTTTCTAGGCCTCGTCCTTGTCCCTTGAGGCCAGCCTAAATCTCCTGTCCTTGGAATCCATGATATCCCCTCATGTTGTTCAAGAAAATGCCCCTTCCACCTCTCTTGTTGCCAACATTAGTTTAAGTACATTTTTGTTTCTGATGTATTAGTTTTCTCTGGCTCCTGTTGCAAATGACCACAAACTCAGTGGCTTAGAACAGCAGAACTTTATTCTCTCACAGTTCTGGAAACCAGAAGTCTGAAAGCAAGGTATCAGTAGGACCATCCTTCCACCAAGTGTCTCGGAAAGAATCTTTCTTTGCTTCTTCCATGCATTCCTTGGTTAGTGGCTGCTTTATTCCAATCTCTGCCCCCTTCACATGACCTTCTCTCTTCCTGTGTCTTCTTCTCTTCCATCTCTTCCAAGGACACTTGTCATTGGATTTAGGACCCATCTGGTTAATTCAGGATGTCATCTCAATATCTTTAACTTAATTACATCTGCAAAGACCCTTTTTCCTAATGAGGTCACTTTTATAGGTACTGGGGTTTAGAACTTTTAGGGGCCACCATTCAAGTCATTATACCTTGCAAGTATACTAAGCTCTTAAAACAAATTCACCAAATATTCCTGATTAGCCTTGCAAACTATGGGTGACCAGCTGATGCACAGTCCACAGCACAAACTATTTATAGATTCTAAAAAGTAGATAAATAAATAAAGCCATTTGCATTTGTGGGAAAAGTGTTTCATGGCATTTTGTTTTTGATATTCTGGGATGGAGTCAAGCCTGGTCTATCATGTCTGAAGTCGCTGTCTTCTCTAGTCTCCTTTGAATTTGTATTCATGATAATAGAGTTATATGGCTACTTTGGTGTTTTGACCACTTGCTACGTTATCAAGAATTCTACTTGGCTCTTTACAAGGCATATCACATCGAATCTTCACAACAATCTTTTGAGGCCAGAATTATTATCCCCAGGAGTCAAACTCAAGTTGTTCGGGTACCAAGTTGGTGTTTTTCACCACCAGGAAGACCTTTTTGATGATCTGGTACATTTGAGGGCTATGAATATAAAAAGGAAAAAGAGGACCTAACATGAGTAGTACCCACTATGTGTCAAGCATTGCACTTGGTGCTTCACATTTGTTATCTCATTTAACCTCCTCCATGAGAGAGATGGTACAGAAATTAGTAGAAAGTGATCACGCTAGCCTGGGCTGCCTATGAACATAACCTGGTAAAGTCAGTGGGACAAAGTCCCAGCTGTTCCTGTTCATCAGAGCCAATGGGGGCCAGCCCCTACAGATCTACTCGGAGTAACTCAAAGAAACATTATGCAAGCAGACACATGTGTCTGGCAGAATGACAGTTGTAAACTGAAAATGAGAAAGTACTTCCTGAATTAGGATACTCTTCTTACTAGAGAAGCTGCAATGTCACCTCCCAAATTATGGGCCTGAATGGGAACTGAAGAGAGGCAGCCTCCAAGGAAAGCCTTAAAGTGAAGACTTCTCTCAGCTTGTGTCTATTCTTAATGACTTTCTACCCCAACCCTAGGAAATCCTCACTCTAGTCTTATACTTTCTTCTTCCTCCCTTTTACCAATGCTCTCTTTCCCTTCCTCTATCCTTGAGAGGCAAGGACACACAGCTCAGATAAAGATCACAATTGACTGTTCCACTTTATTCTTCTTCATGTAGCTCCACTCACAGTCACCCATGTCACGTACCAGGACATCATTCTTAGCTACCCTCTGTCCCAGAACCATCAGTCATCCAATCCTGGCTACCAATCCACCCCCTCCATGACTTCCTCTCAACCCTAACCTTCATTGCCTTGGATCAGGTCCCAGTATCTTTTTCCTGAACTCAATCAGGTCTCCCTGCCTCCATTAGCTCTTGATTTGATCACGTTGTTCCTTTGCTTTCACCTCTGTGACACCTGCCTACCCCCCATTAACCTACAGCGGTGGTTTTCAAAATGTATCTGGAGGAACCTCAGCTTAATAAGTCTTGGTGAGGTTTTAATGGGCCCAGTAAAAAATCCTGCTGAGTTTTGAACAAATTGAGAGAGACAGGATCCTGATCGACAGAAATGAAAATATCACCTTTATGACTAAGAAGTAATATTGGAGGACGTGGCTTAGCTCTGGCCAAATAGCCTGAAAACACTTCCCTGTAAACCACAGATGCCCTAAGCAGTGCAAACATTCCTCCTTCTTGAGAGTGGTTGTTCTCGGAGAGGAGGTTTTTCAGGTACGGATAAAGGAGTGTGAATTTATGTGCAAACCCAGGGATTAGACTCTTATAAAAGTTGTCAGCATTTCCCAAAGCGTGTTCCATGGAAGATTAACCTTGAAAATAGATGATCTGGGAAGAAAGTGTTCCATGGTCAAATCCCTGTAGAGAAAACAACACACCATGTTCTCCCTTGAGAATCATAATGCAAATGAGGATATTAGAGGTTCCATGGTCTGCAGTAAGGACTGACTTTACTTATCAGAGGCTAGCCCATTGTTTCCTCAAATTATTTGACTTAAAAAAAAAAAAATCGCTGGGAGTGGTGAGTCTCTTTGTATTTCCATGTGAGGGCAACTCCATGAGAGTAAGGCCGCTGGCCCCTCTCTTCCCCCATGGGAGGAGGGGAGGGAGTTTAGCTCAAGTCCTTTCTCCCTCTCTCTTCAACTTGGGTGTTCCTAAGAGGACCTTTGTTCTTTTTTGTTGAATCTAATAAATTGTAGCTCTAAAGTCTCTTCTGAAATTTTGTTGTTTTGATAGAATGAGCAGTTAGGAATGCTGTAATAAAAAAGTGTAGGACTAAAGTAGAGGGTAATAAGAGAAGTATTGATTTCACAAACTAAGTGCAATTTATTCAAACTTTATGTATGACCTCTGAACTCTAAACAAAGGCAAAATCATTTGTAGTGGCTTTGTGGTTAAAAGTAGTATGAAGTCATTTGAAGGATCCTTGGCATAGTTGAGACATGTGGGAGAGTTTCAAAGTAGAAGATTCCTAACTTTCATATTACATTGGAAGTATGTGTCAGTTTTGTTTATTAGAATACATGAATGGAGTAGTAAATGTTGTGGTAGGAAACTGTTCTTGGCCAAAGACAATTTGGCTCCTCTTCTTTAAGAAAGGGATCCACCCAAACCCCACCCCCAGATACCTTTGGGATAACTGAAGAACATGGAAGAAGAAAAATCCGCTTAGCTAAGCAATTCTGTGGAAAGGACCATATACTCATCAATCTAGAGTCTTAATTACTCTTACTCTGATGGGAATGACTATAAAAAGGCATGTGGTCTAAATTGGGCAGGATCAATGTTCTTAGCCAGCTCTTGAATTGTCTTCAGTCCAAAGACATTTTTATCTGAGCCAGGAAGTAAGGTGGTAAGGGCAAAACATCTGAAACTCTTGAGCATCTTCCACCTATTGATTCAAAGGTATCAGAGGATGTAACGAGCCCAAGTGTGGTTTGAGGAAAGTAGCTTTCACACAACTGAGAACAGAATTTGCTAGGGGTTGGATGAGCATCTAGGTTAATTTCTTTTTTCTTTTTTTTTCCTTGCCTGAGTATATTTTTTCGTTTTTATCTTCGGGCAGAGAAAGAGGGAGAAAAAGAGAGAGAGAGAGAAACATCAGTGTGAGAGGGACACGTCGACTGGTTGCCTCCTGCATGACCCTGACCAGGGCTGGGGACGAACCGCAACCTTGGTACGTGCCCTTGGCTAGAACTGAACCTAGGTCCATGGGCCAACGCTCTACTGCTGAGCCAAACCAGCCAGGGCTAGGTCAATTTCTATAGAATTTCAGGGAGAGAGAAGTTTTGACAACCATTGGCTTATTTGACCCATGCATTCAGGTCCTCAAATGGATTTCTTTTAAATATGTATGTATAAAACTTGACAAGGCTCTTAATAAATCAAAACCTTTCAATGAATCCAATAATTGTCAAAGCTCCTCTTCAGTTAGTATAAAAGAACATGCCCACAAATGTGCTTTCCAGGGTTAATAGTTGTAAAATTTTAGTTACTCTTCTACCCATAGTTTACATATACTGTATCCAAATCATTTGACACACTGAATTTCTGGGTCTGAAGTGATAAGGACAGATAAGATGTAGTCCCTGCCTTCAAGAAGCACAGTCTAGTTGGAATGATAGGCATATTAGCAAATTTAAGTACCCTGTGGAGTGACAGTCAAGGACAAAAGTACGTGGCAAGAACAATGGGGTCCAAGGAAGGGGTGCCTGGAAGAGAGGATAAAGAGTCTGTAAGAATAAAGGGGCAGTCTGACAGGAAGGCAAGGGAACTTCATTATAAAAGAACTGCTTATGAAAAGTCCTGAGTTTAGAGTCCAGAAATAAACTCTTACATTTATGCTCAACTGGTTTTTGAAAGGGTACAAGACAATTCAGTGAGGGAAAGAATAATCTTTTCAACAAACGGTCTGGGACAACTGGATAGCTACATGAAAATGAATGAAGATAGATCCCTACCTCACACCATACACAAAATTAATTTAAGATGGATTCGACCTAAGTGTAAGAACTAAAATTATAAAGTTCCTAGAAGAAAATACAGGTGTGATCTTGGATTAGGCAATGGTTTCTAAGGTATGACACCAAAAGAACAAGCACACAAAGAAAAACTAGATAACTTTGACTTCATCAAAATTTTAAAACTTTGAAAGGAAAAATTTAAACTTTGCACTTCAAAGAACACTGTCAAGATAGTGAAAAGACAACTCACAGAATGGGAGAAAATATTTGCAAATCATACATGTGAGAATGGACTTGAATTCAGAAATATAAAGAACAAATTAATAATAAAAGACAAATAGCCCAATTTTAAAATGGGCAAAGGATTTGAACAGATATTTCAAAAAGATCATTATACATTAGGGAAAATCATATCAAAACCACAATGAGCCCTGACTGGTGTGGCTCAGTCGGGTGAGCATGTCCTATTCACCAAAAGGTCGCCGGTTTGTTTCCCCGTCAGGGCACATTACCCAGGTTGCAGGTTTGATCCCGGTCGGCAGGCAACTGATCAATGTTTCTTTCTCTCTCTCTATCTTTCTACCCTTCTCCCTTCCTCTGCCTCTAAAATAAAAATAAAAATAAACATATATTTTAAAAAACACAATGAAACACTACCATGTGCCCATAAGGATGGCTAAAATCAAGACACAAGTCATGGTGAACAAATGGAGAAATAGGAACCCTCATAACTGCTGCTGGGAATGTAAAATGGTGAAACTGCTTTGAAAAATAGTCTAGCAGTTCCTCAAAAGGATAGACACAGAGCTACCATATGACCTAGCAATGGTACTCATAGATATATATATCCAAGAGAAATAAAAACATATGTCCACACAAAAACTTTTACACAAATGTTCATAGCAGCATTATTCATCACAGCAAAAAAGTGGAAAAACCTAAATGTCTAACAACTAATAAATGCATAAAAAAAAAATTGTATATCCATACAATGGAATATTATTTGGCCATAAAAAAAGAATGAAATTCTGATATGTGCTGTAACATGAATAACTCTTGAAAGCATTATGCTAAGTTCAAGAAGCCAATCACACACACAAAATCACATAGTATATGATTCCTTTTATTTGAAATATCTAGATTAAGCAAATACAGAGTCAGAGTGATTCGTGATTGCCTGGGGCTAGGGTGTGAGGAAATGGGGAGAGACTGCTAATAGGTGTTGAAAATGTTCTAAAATTAGATTGTGCAGATGGCAACACAACTCTGAATATACTAATCAACTGTATACTTTAAATGGGTGAATTTTAAGGTATGTGAAAAATATCTCAATAAAGCTATTAAAAATCTCATTAATCATAAAGATATTGACAAAACATATAGTGTCAGTGTCTTTATAGCATTCAACATGTTCCTCATAAGCTACAGTTAATCCTTGAACAATGAGGAGGTTAATGGTGTCGACCGCTATGCAGGCAAAAATTCATGGATAACTTTTGATTCCTCAAAAACTTAACTACTAATAGCCTGCTATTGACCAGACGCCTTACCAATAACATAAACAGTTAACATATTTTGTATGTTACATATATTTTACACTATATGCTTACAATAAAGTAAGCTAGAGAAAAGAAAATGTGAAGAAAATCATAAAAAAAGAGAAAATACATTTACAGTAATGTACGTATTTATTGGAAAAAATCCGCATATAAGTGGACCCCCGCAGTTCAAACCCATATTGTTCAAGGGTCAACGATACTCAAGGACCTCTTGGCACTTTTTCAACTTGTAGTAATAACCTTGTATATTTGTTGAAATTTGAAAGTAAACTAAAGCAAGTCAACATTTTGTAATTAGAGGAAAGAAGTACTTCAAAATTCAGTGGTCAGATTTTTACCCAATAGGAAATGGTAGTCAGAAAGTATTGCTTTACAACATCTTATAACCTAACCTAAAATTTTAACACATACTATTAACTATTTGCACAGTGTTGTTAATAAGACTTCCTTGTCTCTGGGAGAAACCTGAAGAGTAAGCAGAAGAAAGATGCTCAGGGGTCCTACCGAATTTTTGCTAATGTTCATTATTTGGCTCCTCTGGTTATGGGATAGAAGAAACAAAGAACTGGTGTGTCATGGTGGTCACCAGGTCAGAATCTGGACACAGAAGAACCTAGCTTGGAATACTGTCCCTGCCACTTAGTAGCTGTGTGACTTTATACAAGCTGCATAGCCTCTCTGTGCCTCCATTTCCTCCTTGTAAAATGGGAATTCTATACATACCTTTGTTTTTGTTTGAAGGTTTGTCCCGTAGTAGGGTGTCCAATTAATAGTACCTTTATTTTAAGAAGTCTTTTAGTAGGCACTTATGAGCAATATGTCTTGGTAATTTTTTCCTGATTTAAAAAAAAAAAATAGTGTTGGCATTTTCTACACATTACTATCTTATCCTTCTTTCATTAGTTCTGTTTTATTTTGCTGTGTTTATTATTACGTTACTTGTCAAAGTACTTCCTTGAAATTCTGCTATCAATCAGGAAAGAAAGAATTAAAACATTTGCTTGCTAAGTATTTTGTTCCCTAATTGTGGGTCTATTGTTGCATATAGAGTGCAATCTGAACAAAAGATGGAAAAATGTCCTCGGGTGAGGATAAAAAAAAAAAATAATAATAAGTTGCACAGAATATATAAATCATAAAATATGCCTTTATGTTATTACTAATCCAAATATTTCTGGGCCATTAATAGCACATGTACAATAATAATTAAATTCAGTTGTCTTTGATATTTTGGCAACTGTCAGTCATTTAAAACTAATTTTCCAATTTTTAAAAATAAATTTGTCATTATAAAGCCATATTTGTCAATGTAAAAGGAAAAGACAAATTCAATTTAATGGCTTGATCCATAATTTTTATACATTTTGACCATTTTTTACTCTTGAATGCTCATTTAACAGACAGATCCAGAGGACTACTTCTTTCCTCCTTCCACCTTTCTTCCACGCCCACCTCCTTTCTTTTAGTAAGCACTACTACAATACACTAAGCACTATGCTAGGCACTGAACAAAACAGACAGGGCCTTGTGCATATGGAAATTATTATCTAGTGGGGAGACAGACAGCAAATCAACATGAAATACTGAAAATCACAACTATGACACAAATAACATGAAGAAGAGGTAGAGTGTACTACGAAAGCATATTAGGGGAATCTGGCCCAGTCTCAGAGTATCAGGGAATACTTCCCTGAGAAAACAACATCTGAGCAGTAATCTGGGTGGTAGTAGGGGTTAAGTATACACAGGTTCAGGAGAATATGCCAGGCTGAGAGCCCTGTGAGGGGAGGGCGCCTGTAGGTTGGAGCATGAAGGTTCTGATTGGAGGCCAGTGAGGCTGGATATATGAATGGAGGGCAAGGTTCCAGACCTTCCAGATGAGGAAGTGGTCAAATTATGGCCCACTGCCTATTTTCATAAATAAAGTTTTATTGGAGCATAGCCACACTCATTTGTTTACTTATTGCCTTTGGCTGCTGCTTTAGGCTACAACGGCAGGGTTGAGTAGTTAAGATATAGATCTTATGGCCCACAAAACCTAAAATTTTTACTCTGTCCTTTACAGAAAAAAATCTGCAGACCCCTGATCCAGACCAGGTCTTGTAGGCCTGTTAAGGATTGTGTCCTTTATCCTCACAGCCATGGGAAGCCATCGAAGTGTTTTAAAGGGGACAGGAAATAAAAAGGACCTGATTTTCATGAAAACATTCAGGAGCCAAATATATACTCACATTACGGGATTTCCAGGGCCACGCCCTCCAAAGACCTCCTTTAAGGAAATTGGCATTAATCTCTGCAGAAATGGGTTCTAAGTCCTCTCTTGCCTGTGGCAGAGTCCCTATCAGTTTCTTCCTACCTAAGCCCCTTGTATTAGCCAGACTCCTTTGGGAGCAAGTGATAGACAGAATCCAAGCCTTCTATACAGCAAGAAGGGAATATATTGGTTCACATAGCTGGGAAGGGCAGTGGGGAAGTTCTGAGAAGAGCAACAGAAAACAGAGCCTGCAGCACTTGAACCAGGGACTCACCATCTGCAGAACCATCTCTCCATTTGCTTTTCATCTTTGCTTGACTCTGCCTAGCTTCCTGCACAAATAAGCATTTTCCATCGAGCAACTCCAGAATCACATTCTCCCAATGTGATTATTGGAAGAAGTAGAAGCAGAAGGAAGAGAGAGCAGGAGAGAGTTTACTTCCAATCGTCTGCATATTCTTCTCGAGTTTGGATTCTAATGGGCCCTGCTTGAGTCCCATGTCCACCCTCTCTGGAACAATCAGTGTCAAAAGAGATTTAATATAAATTGGCCAGACATGGATCACATGACTATCCTGGAGGCCAGGGCACAGGGCCTGGAAATGAGAACCCTGAGAGCACAATCTAGAAGGGGAAGTTCCCAAAAGGAAGGAATGCTAGGCAGATCAAAAATAAATAAGTAAATCAAAACAATAGAATAGGCCTGCTGTATCTGCCAGGCTGGAACCCACAAGCTTTGTAGGGAAAGCCACCTCTGCTCTCATGACCAGTCCTGGAACAGCCTGCAACACATAAGGCTGGACACCGGGAGGCTGATCAGCTATCGCTGAAGTGACTAGGCACAAAAGTCCAGCAGGAGCCCTCTACTGAGTGGCTGCAAGCTTACCAATCAGACCTTCTGTTTTGGAAATAGAAATGCCAGGTCAGCAAAAAAGGAGGGCTGTTTGCACTCAGATTGATGTTGCCAGCAATACTTAGAAATGTGTCCAGGTTTCCGTGTAGCTCACTCTAAATCCCAGGGTATAAATAGAAATCCACACAGTAACCCCCCTTGGCTGAAGGAAAGCCAGGCTTGTCTTTTCTCCTAAGGAATTTGCCTGTCTTGGTCAGTACAACCCGATGCTCTGGAAATTTCTTCCTCTATCTTTTAAAGAACTGTTCATGTCATTTAATTTCACACAGAAAGAAATGAACTACTCTTCTGGCAAAGAATATTACAGTCAACATAAAGATTCACTCTTTGGAAAGGGATTTTAAACACTTTGCTACGTGGCCAGAGGAGATTTAATCACAAGACTCTCTGGGGAGGACGCTGAAGTGAAAGAGAAGCACAATAGAAATAATAACCTACCGGTAGCTGGACAAGAGTTGTAGGTTCAAGTCCTTGCTGGGGATCATGAGCAAGTCATTTCTTTCTTTCTTCCAGAAAATGAAGTTTCAAAATCATGTATTCATTCTACAAAGCTGTGTAGCTGGAGCAAGAGGCATGTGTGGCTGAAGAGTGAATGAGGTGGAAAGTGGCAGGTGAGGCCCCAGAGGTAACAGGGGCTGGTCATTTGGATTTTACCTTGCTTGAGCGTGGGAACTATATTCATTTCTTGTGTCTGCTATAACCAATCACCACAAACGTAGGGGCTTAAACAACACAGATTTAATTTCTTCTAGTTCTGGAAGTCCAAAGCCCAATCTCCAGCAGCACTCATTGGACTGAAATCAAGGTGTGTTGGCAGGGCTGCGTTCCTTTCTGGGGGCTCTAGGGGAACTAGTTCTTTGCTGACTCCAGCTTCTAGAGGCTGCCCACATTTCTTGCTCCTAGCCCCCTTCCATCTTCAAAGTCAGCAATCCTAGCTTGAGTCTTTCTCACAACTTATCGTTCTGACCTTCCCTTCTGCTTCTCTTTTCCTCTTTTAAAGACTCTTGTGATTACATTGGCCACACCTGGATAATCCAGAATAATCGCCCTATTTTAAGGTCAGCTGATTAGCAACCCTTAATTAGCAACTATCTGCAACATTAATTCCCCTTTGTCATGTAACATAACATACTCACAGGGATTAAGATGTGAACATCTTTGGGGGATGAGGGGGGCATTCTTTTGCCCATCATAGGAGCCACTGGTGTCTCTGAGCAGATGAATGACATGATCAAACTTGTGCTTTAACATGGTCACTTTGGCTTCTGTGTTTGCACAGACACTGGGGTGGCAGGGACAGAAGCCAGGTCAGTTAAGAGACTACTCCAGCCCTGGCTGGTTTGGCTCAGCGGTTGGAGCTCGGCTTGCGGTCCAGAGACCCGGGTTCGGTTCCCTGCTAAGGGCACGTACCTCAGCTGCAGTTTGTCCCCGGCCCTGGTTGGCAACCACTTGATGTGTCCCTTTCACGTTACCCTCCCCCCCCCCTATCTGAACAAAAAATGGAAGGATGTCCTCGGGTGAGAAGTAAAAAAATAAAATAAAAGAGAGACTACTCCAATAATCCAGGCCCAAGATGGTGCTTGAAGCAGGATGGTGAATGGGGTAAAAAGTAGTGAAATTCCAAGTATATTCTGAAGGTAGAGCCAACAGGATTTGTTGTCAGAGTGCAGGTGAGAGAGGAGGCTGAAATGTAAGCAAAGCCCAGATCACAGAGAGCATGGTTTGCTAATGAGTTTGGACTGTACCCTAAGAGAACACTTCCCTGAAATGAGAGGCTTTGGGGTTAGAGCTTGTTCAAATCTCTGCTCCTCAACTTATTAAGGTAGTAACCTTTATGAGGTTATTTATCTGTATTATGTGTCTGTTTCCACATCTATAAAATGGAGATGGTGCTACCCAACACAAAACGCAATTGTGAATGTAAATGCTTCCCATTTACTATGCTCTTGAGGCATGACCACCATTGCTACTATTATTATTTTATTGATCCTAGAGAGAGGAAAGAAAGGGGAGGGGAGAACATCACTGTGAGAGAGAAACATTGATGGGTTGCCTCCTGCACACACCCCGACCAGTGCTCGAACTTGCAACCTAGGTATGTGACCTGACTGGGAATCAAACTCACCACCTTTTGGTATATGGGACGACGATCCAACTGAGCCACGCCAGCCAGGGTGCTGTTATTATTAATATGGCTGTGGGGAGTCACTGAAGAATTTCTAGCCACAAAAATCAGATCTGTACTAGAAAAAATCACTCTAGCAACAGTATGACTTGGATGGTGGATGGAAAAGGGTTGAAGTCATGCTCTTGCTTAAAAATCTTTTGCAAAGACTGCAAAATAGAAGCCAAATTTGTCCTGACATTCAAACCCTACATAATTTGGCTTAATCCTACTTTACTCTCTTATCTCTATCTCTTTTCCTCCTGCAACTGACCCTGTTCAAACCACCCTTCAGCCATCCTGGTCTCAATTTCCCTAAACTCTGTTGGATGTCCAACTTCTGAGCTTTGGCCTCCTTCTGATTAGAATGCCTTTCTAATCATCAAAGGCCAAGACATATGCCATTTGCCCCCAGAAACTTCCCACCCTCCCCAGCCAGAATTAACCCTTCATCCCCTCTTGACCTAGAATTGCCTATGGATGCTCATTCTCAATCCTTTCCCCATCATTGAAGAAACTGCTTCACCCACCAGCAGCCCAGAAGAGGCAAGACCCTTGGGCACAAATGATAGGATTAGTAGAGCCCATCTGGGGTTTCTCCTCCAGCACTTGAAATTGAAATAGCAGGTCACAGCAGGTACCAGACCCTCTAAATTTGGGTGTAGAGCTGGTACCTTCCAAAGTTGCCTGCATGTTGAGGCTATGAGGAAGTAGGAACCAACAGCCTTATGAAAGAAAATGGCACAGACTTGCAGAGAGATGTAGAGACAAGATACTGGGTGGGGGTGGGGTCAGAAGGAATGAGAGAGAGAGAGAGAGACAGAGACAGAGACAGAGAGAGAAATAGAGAGAGAAACAGCCCTCTCACTCCCAGGTTTCTGAGAGATCACCAGATGAAAATTTTGCAGCTGAGTTTCTGGAGATTCCCCAGTCTCCTTAACATAAATCCAATTTCAGAAGGCTCTGTTCCCACAATACACTCTTAATATCAGGTATGTAGTTATGTGTCTGCATCCACCTGGACCTAGCACCTCCAAAAGCAAGCATTCTATCCTATTTATTCAGTATCCCCAAAACCTGGCACATGCTAGATGCTCAAAAATGGTTGAATTTGAATCCTGACAGTTCACAAAATAGTTTAATGTATCATTTTTAGGCAATCGTTCTAAACATCTCTGCTTTTCACCATATTTTGCTACATTTGCATTACTTTATATAGTAATTCATAAATACATTTTAAATCAAGTTGGTTTTCACCCTATTTCTAAACTCTCTCTATTCACATGGTTTGGTTTTCTCATCCTATTTGCTGGTCACCAGGAAGGATTCAGAGCTTAGTAGCAGAAATGATCCATGCTTCTCTTTAGTTGGTGAGAATGCTTGTCTTACATCTTCCAGTATTCAGCAGCCTTTATCCTTGAAATAGATACGTCCCATGAAGGCTACTGGGGCAGCTTAATTTCAATGATGTCATTTAAACCCCATTAAAAGGTCATCGGGCAAGCTAAGTACCTTCTTCCTTCAAATATCTACTCAAAATCATGGATTTTCAGAGCTAGGGCCAAAGTTCTCAGACTCTTGAGTTTCTATGAACCAGAATTAATTTTTTTTAAAGGTTGTCAAATTTATATTCTTCCAGGGAATACCATGAAAAATAATAAGTTTTGATTAACACAGCATCACCTCTTGCAATGCACAAGACAGCCCCAACAATAAGAAATTTCCAGCTCCAAATGGCAATAGTGCTGAGGTTAAGAAACCCTGGGTTAGCTGATGACCCGGTGAAAGGCAAAAGCAGCAAAGCCCCCACGGTGGCGGACATTTGCAGGATGAAACCATGGAATGGACTATCCAGGTGGGCTATGATGGGGTTAGCCAGCAGGGGGCTGGACTGGCTACTCCAGGCCTGGGTGGGGTGGTGGGACAGGGACAACACTCACTGACATTCTGATTTTTAAATGTGATTAGGTACATAAAATGCTTAATACTATGCCTGACACACAGTCAATTCTCTATAAATATTACTATTATTATTATAAGTGTTCAATTAATATTGACATTTTTAACACGAGGGGAAAATATTTTTCTTTTATCTTCCCAAAAGGTGTGCTGAGGTACTTCATTGATTTGGAGTGTACCCCTCAGGAGACAAGTTTTGCTGGGGAATCAAATGCCCCTATAATTGATTTCAATGATTTGGGATTCCAGAGGTAACCTGAGGAGTAAACAGGAGGTAGGAGGAGGAAAGGAGAGGGAGGAGCCTGTGAGATGGAGTGTGAAACTGAGGACTCACTCCCATTAAGAACAATAACCTTCCGCCCTGGCCAGTTTGGCTCAGAGGTCAGAGCGTGGACCTGTGGTCCAGAGAGACCCGGGTTCGGTTCCCGCTAAGGGCACAAACCTCAGTTGCAGTTTGTCCCCGGCCCTGTTTGGGTCATGCGGGTGGCAACCACTTGATGTGTCCCTTTCACGTCAATGTTTTTCTCTCTCCTTCCCATTCTATCTGAACAAAAAATGGAAAAATGTCCTTGGGTGAGGATAAAAAAACTTCCACCTTCCTTGTGGGTGAGGAGGTGGTTGAAGACTATTTTAAGACGTAGGACAGGTCAGTACAGTTTGAGGACTTTGTATCTCAATAAGATGAGGAACTATTCTTTTGCTCCACCCCATCTCCAGCTTCTGTGACATTTTCTACAACGGTGCATACATCTTATAAACAAGGTTTTTAGTGGAAATTGAGGAAGGGTGTACATTTTCTATTTGCATTGAAACAGTGTAGAACTGAGGTCGCAGCCCAAAACCAGAGTCCAGGAGCCATAGGTGACGACAAGAGCAGAAGTTGCCTCAAGCTCCCAGAAATCCCAGTAGGGCCTTGGTCTTTCTTAGCATGTAAAATGTGAGAATTAAGCCTAGTTCTTCAGCAGACACCTGTCTTACATTTTCACAGTAAAGGAGCCATCTGGTCTTACACCTGGGCATGAGTAAGACAAGATGGGCCTGGATCCAAAGTTCTGTACCTGCTCGGGCTGGGTCAGAATGTGGCCAAACTTTGTTTTTGTTCTAGAAGCACCTAGAGTCAATGCAAACACTGGCTTGAAGATCTTGGAGGGCTGGAGAGGAAACCTGCCCAGGCTCCTTGGGACCAGGTAGAACTGGTCTGACTTCTAGGTATGTAATATCTGACCCTTGTAGGTCTAGGGGTAGAACTGCCCTGGTGACCATGTGATTGGAGCCCCATAAGCATTTGTGATATAACAATCAAATAGCCAGAGAGCATGAGGAACACCAATGTTGCTGGGCAAACTGGCTTTATTACCTCTATGGCTTTGGTCAAGGTGTTATCCTGTGCAAAATTCCCTGAACTCTTTCTTTCCTGACCCCCTCCCCAACTCTCCCTTCCTGCGCATCAGGGAACCAATAAGCTCCCAACTCTCGCAGTCTAGGTGTCATGGTCCAGAGAAGTGACCAAGCTTGGGCTTGGGGTTTAGTGTCGGACAAACCAGGCTCCATTGTGTCACCCGGGGCAACTTTGCCTCTTGAGTCAGTGTTTGCATCTGTAAAGTGGGTGGGGGCTAACAATAACTGCCCCGTGGACGGACTAAAGGTGGTGACGAATACACAGGGGGCTTAACCCCACTGCAAGAGCTTAACCACTGTCCACCTTCCAACATCTGGCAAATGCATCTCACTCACCTTTCCTGTCCCAGGTCTTTTACTTCCTTCTCATTTCAATCTCGAATGTCCACTTAAGTGGTACATCTTACAATGTTCTTCTCTGTCCCTCCTTCCCGGGGCCCACCCTCCGCGGTGGACGCAGAGC